ACTTAATATTGTTTGATTTTGTTGTTATCGAAGTTTTTCTTCAGGTCTTGATGCCAGCATCTTTTCATGTTGAGAGTATTCGAAATTCAAAAGGTCATAAATAGAAGGAAGTTGAGGAGGACAGTGGGTTTGGAAGCAAGAGATTTGGATTCTTTCAAGATATTCCAAGCGAGCGCGAGCCTCAATGCGAGAAGCTCTCCTAAGCTGGAGAATGCGTTCTCGATTTTTTTCATAATATCGTCGATTGGCGTTATAACAGGATGACCTATGCTGTGGCATATTAGGTAAAGAGGAAAAAAATGAATATAAACTCAATGCTGAGTTGAACTCGAACCAAAAATTATGTAAAGGAAGAGCAAAAAAGGGGTCGTTTAAAGTGTTGTGTAATCACGTGATATGAGGCAATCAAATTGTTTTTGATCAACACGGATCAGCCCAACGAAGAAAAAAAAGCAAGAAAAAGAAGAATACAAGAAAACTGATGCTTAAACCTATATTGATACACTAATAAAAAATGTTGGGAAGGTGATTTTACTTATAAAACATGCCCTAACCCTAACCTGAACTAATCCTTACCTTAACTTTAATTAAATGGTCAAAAACTTATGATGCACAGCGCTTTAAACGTCCCCAAAAAAGGAAATGATAAAAGCTTATTTATTATTGATAAATAAAAATAAACATCTATCTTATGAAAAAGGTTTAATTTGAAAATTTTAAAAAAAACACTAGCTGTATTGCAACTCAGTTACTTTATATTATTTGTTATTATCAATCGCCCTTTTTATATGGTTTATAGAATAATCTAAAGAATAATCTAATTAGTTAAAAAAAATAAGCATGATAATCTTTAAATTAAAAAAAATCTAGACATTACAATAACCCTTTTTCGCTGTTATTATAGGATCAATTAAATTCAACCATCTCGATCACTAACAAGGGATCATTTTGTGAATTTAGAACATTTTCGGCTAATAAAATTATATTAAATCGTAATATATTGGCGGATTTGCGGAATTGTACGTATCCAAATTATATTTACAATCAAAATCTATGTACGCAAATCTGCCGATATAAGAATAAATTTAATAACAAAATGCGAAAGAATCTCTTATATAATTTCCGTTTTACTTTGCCAATCAGTTATTACCGGTTTATTTTAAAAGAAAGATGTATTTTAGAAATTTGTTATAGTGAAACTTTATGCTAGCACGTAGAGCGTTACATTTCACATATTGGTATGACACCATTGCTGACGCCACTGGTATGACTATAGATTCACTATAGACATGCTGTTCATAGTTAATCCGATTTTTTTCGCGTGTACATATCAAGTTTTGTATTCGAATTTCCAGACTCTACCTCCCGATAATATTCGTGATTTGATTGGCTAACTTTATCATCGTACGTCATTTAGTAAAATAGCCAGCCAAAAACCTTGCGTGCAGTGCGTACAGTGCGTACAGTGCATATAGTAATGTATGCAGTGCATCTCTTGGCTGAACCTACTTCTATATCTTCATTTGTATAGCTGCACAAAAAATTCATGCTTTGAAGAACTTTGATCAAATGCAGTATAATTCATAAGCTTATATTCTGAATAATTATTTAATAATCTATTTTATTAATACGTAGTGTAAAGCTACGTATACTCCATCAAAACATTGACATAAGGATTGTCGAAAAATAATGTAACGTTACTCAAAACAATGATACAAACCAAACCCTTGAACGTTACGCATTTGATAAGCACAATATAAAACTACATCGAGGAATTATTTGCGTACATAAGTTTGTGTAATATCAGATACCATGTACGTACGTACGTACGTACGCAATGTTTTTTTGCTCTTTTTTGTTTTTAGATACCGATGATTTTATTTGATTTTATTGGTTAA